AATCACCGTTAAGCGAAAACATCGTAAAGTGAAATTAAAAAACCCATTGAAACCCATTCAATGCGTTTCTATGGGGTAAAAACTCAACTGTCCAGCAAAGATCCTCCATATGGCGCCCATTTTCGCTGCCTGTATAGTGAGGAATCTGTCCCTAAACACAGCGGGGACAGCCATTTTGAAACTGCTGATCAGCTGTTAGAAAAATGTTTTTCAAAGAATCAGTTCCCGAAGCAGGGAACCGATCATCGCAAAGCGAAATCCCCCCATTTAGATCATCATTTTGCGATCGAAAAATTGTCGTTAAGCGGGTTCATCGTAATGCGGGGCAATTGTAAAGTGAGGCACCACTGTACAGGCTTCCTTCAGTCACAAAACTTAGCTTCCTATTGTCAGGAGACTTAGCTTCCTCCAATCATGAGCCTTATGGAACTAACGGCAGCTGATGTATAAACCAATGGGAACATACCTCGTTGGAGGTGGGGCCTGTAGGCAGTGCTCAGATTCAACAGGGACTCTTAATGTCTGAGCGTTCTGAGCCCAGATGCTGAATCCTCAAAGCTTAAGTTTTAATTTTTAGGTTAGAAAAGGAGGGGGTATCTTATAAGTGGGGGTGTGCTATAAATGGGAAAATACGGTATCTTAAGTTTTTCTTGAATGCTTCCAGTGTTGGAGCAGTCACCAACTCCTGAGGTAATTGGTTCCACTATTGTATTGCTCTAACAGGAGGTTTTCCTGATATTCCACTGAAATCTGGCTTCCTTTAACTTGAGCCCGTTGTTGTGTGTCCTGCACTCTGGGATGATCAGGAACAGATCCTGCCCCTCCTCTGTATGACAGCCTTTCACATATTTGAAAAGTGCTATCATATCACCCCTCAGTCTTCTTTTCTAAACGCTAAACATGCCCAAATTTTTCAACCTTTCCTCGTAAGGCTTGGTTTCCAGCCCCCTGATAATCCTTGTCACCCTCCTCTGTACTTGTTCCAATTTCTTAGCATCCTTCTTGAAGTGTGGTGTCCAGAACTGGACACAATACTCGAAGTGACGCCTAATCAGTGCTGAATAGAGGGGGACTAGCACCTTACGGGATTCGGAAACTATACTTCTATTAATGCAGCCTAAAATAGCATTTGCCGGATGAGATGTCTGGACAGTGTCTGTGAAGCAACCAACATGAAATTGACACAACTCCGGGAGGCAGCGGAAGATAGGAGGGCCTGGCGTGCTCTGGTCCATGGGGTCACGAAGAGTCGGACACGACTAAACGACGAGCATCTCATGAGATTTGGAAATTATACTTCTACTAATGCAACCTAAAATAGCATTTGCTTTTTTTTACCACATCACAATGTTGGCTCATATTTAGCTTGTAATCTATGACAATTCCAAGATTCGCTTGTAGCTTTGCTGAGCCAAGTATCCCCCATCTTGTAACTGCAATTGGTTTCTTTTTCCAAGGTGCAGTACTAAGCACTTATCCCTGTTGAATTTCATTGTTGTTTCCAGCCCAGTGCTCCACCCTATCAAGGTCATTTTGAATGTTGTTTCTGTCATCTCAGGTATTAGCTATTTCGCCCAATTTGGTATTATCTGCAGAATTGACAAGCATTCCCTGTTCTCCCTCATCCAAGTCATTAATACAAATATTGAAAAACACTGGGCCAGGACTGAAATTTGGGGAACCCCACTTGTTACCTCCTCCCAGTTAGAGAAGGACCTATTAATCATCACCCTCTTGAGTACAATTCTGTAGCCAATTGTGTATCCACCTGACACTTGACCTATCAAGCCCACACTTAGTTAGCAAGCTAATCAGGATATCATGGGGCACTTTGTCAAAAGCTCTGCTGAAAGCAAGATATACTACATCTACAGCATTCCCTCTATCAGGGAGGTGACCTGAACCAAAAAACACGATCAAATTAGTTGGGCAGGATTTGTTCTTGACAAATCTGTGTTGACTTCTAGTTATCGCTGCATTGTTTTCTAGGTGCTTGCACAATGACCACTTTATGATCTGTTCCAGAATTTTGCCTGGGATTGATGTCGGGCTGACTGGCCTGTAGTTCCCAGGTTTCTCCCTTTTGCCCTTTTTAAAGATAAGGACAACACTGGACCTCTTCCAATCCTCTGGCACCTCCCCCGTTTCCCGTGATTTCAAGAAAATAATGGATAGCCATAGCGGTTCTGAGAGTTCTTCAGCCAGTTTCTTCAGTACTCCCGGATGCAGTTCATCCGGCCCTGGAGATTTGAATTCATTCAAGGTGGTAAGGTATTATTTTGACCTTACAGTGTCTTTTGCTTAAGAGGAAGGTATGAATAAGGACCTGTCATGATTTGTGTAATTGCTGTCCAAGAAAGAGGCAGAAGAAAAATTGCAGTTTATTTGTTTCCTATCTACCCACATGATGCTGGAATGTATGCACCTAGATTTTTGCAAATCAAGTATAAGCCAAGGGAGCTGAGTTTATTTGTTTTGCTAAGAAGAATCCCTTTCTTGAAATGCTGCCTATCAATTTAAGTTACTGGCTAAAAGTCCACACACACACCTCAAGATTGAAAAGAGAACATAACAGCCACACAAAAATATTTTAATTAAATGTACATTAGGTAGAAAAAAGTGGTTGAGACACAGATATTTTGTTAAAATCTTGCTTGTGCAAAGATGCCCCTTAACACTATTCTTAAGTGTGAATATCAAGGAGCAGAATTGCAGCTGTGGCACAAGAGTAGGAAAGGTCACATCTTGGAATTTAAATCTATTGGTTTCCTTCTGTCCGAATACAGACTGGCAGAGATTATAATACTGCAAGACTCCGCATTCAGGTCCAACTAGGGCCAGCATTAAAGACTAGGTGGATAAACCTGTGGTTGGATCATAAGATAACTTTTGTTGTATGTTCTCTTC